TAATGACCCCACACTTAACAGATGAAGAAATTGAGTCTTGGAGAGGTGAAGTAACTGATCCTAAGACTACAGAGCTAAGAGATGGTTAAGGAGAGAGAGTTGATACCCACATGTGAAGACATAAAGTTGACTGCTCAAATCCCCTCTAATTCTCAGAGTCTAGGATCCCAACTTGTTCTTTTTGCTCCTCTGCTTTCCCTGTGGACAGGAGGGTAGGAAGTGAGGAGGAAGAATTTTCGGTAATTGCAGGAAGAGTAGGGGAGAAATTAGCATGGAGCTTAAAATAAACAACTGTCTTCTAAGAGTTGTCAAAGTAAATTGTGTCCCCAGAGACACTTAAAAGCAATTTGATCACACATTTACACATGGCTGTGGTTGGGGAAGCTGGTGGCTGATCTACCAGAGGGGATTTTAATGAAGTTTTATAAGCAATACTTTGACATGTTTTGCATAGCAATGACTTTGTACATCTTCTTTAATCCTGCATATCTGGAACCTCACTCGCCTTTTGAATATTAATTTAACTACTTTGTAAAAGTTTCCAGTTAAAGAAGAATGGGAACCTTGCAGATATATATATAGATCTACTATTTCTGTCTCTGAGCCTTTGTCCATGCTCTTTATAGCACCTGTATTGCACTTGCTCCTCCATCATCCTTACCCAGTCTCTAAAGTCCAACTTAAAGTCCATCTATTGGAGAAAGCCTCCCCATCCCTCTACTCGATATGACACATCCCAACAACTTGGTCCCACCTCGTAACGTAATTTTTAAAAATTGGTCGTGATTAAGGGTTTATTATTATTCAACCCATTATGTGAGCGTGCACTCTATATCTAGCATTGTACTAGGCATTGGGGGGGATTGAGTGGTGAACACGGCAAACATCTCTGGAATATATAAATCACGAGAGGACTTCTTACATCCAACCCTAGATCGTAGCTCTCAGAGGGAGTACAGGTGTCTTGTACTTCTGGGTGTCCCCCAGTCTGTATTAAGTTATGGCAGGCAGGGTGGAAAGGGATGCAGTCATCTTCTCTGGTCTCTACAGGATGCACTAGAGTATCGTGCTCTCCTTACAGCAGCCACTCTTAAGAGGTCATGGTGCACTAGAGCACGTACAGAGGACAAGGAGCCCCAGCTATTGGTGAAAATCACCTCCCTTAAACCAGGGTTTCTCCACCCTGGCACTACTGACATTGTAGGCTAGATATTCTTTGTTAGGGGTGAGGGGACTGTTTTGCACATTGTCAGACATTAAGCAGAATCCTTGACCAACTCTTCTCACTGGATGCCAATTCTATCACCTTTTCCACTTGCAACAACAAAAAAGTCTCCCTACATTCCCCAATGTCCCTTGGCAAGTAAAATCAACCTTAGATGAATACAACTGGGAATGTTTTTATCTGCAGAAAGTGAGATTTCAGAAAGATGTAAAAAGCTCTGTTTGGATGTTTGTAGGACAATTATGCAGAAAAAGAATTAGCGATAGAAATTTTAAATGAAGCCAGAGGGTAAAACTGGAACTTAAAGAGAATCAATTTTGGAGGAAGTGTTTTTAACGTCAGGACAGCTTTCCGTCTGTCGGGCATGTGCTGCGGTAAGACACGGGGAAGTCCGAGGCCTTAGTGCCTCCCTTAGTGCCGACTTGGACACACTTCATTGTCCAGGGGATTTGGAGATTTCAGGATCCTGAGATTCAGTGTGTGTTTGTTTTTATTGTTTCTAAAGTGGCTTGTAAAGAATTAGAATAATCCTTTGGGGATTTGGGGCAGGAAGCAGTGTAAAGTAATAAAATGAGCTCAGTATCCTGGCCCCTAAGTTAGGCCATCTGGGCTAGAGCCAGTTCTTGCCATCGTGGGACTTGGGACAAATCCTGGCACTTCTGTGTTTCTGCTTCCTCACCTGTGAAATGGGTACATTTATAGTTTCCGACTCAAAAGTAGTTGTGAGGACTAAATGAGATAGTACAGGCAGAGTCCCTGGTAGATAAATGAGTGGCAGCTATTATTACTAACTCAGCCAGCGTGCTTTGCCTGACGTCCAGAGACTTGAAGAGTTAACTAGTTACTTTTGTCTACTGGTAATGTGCATGTGTTTTGGCAGCAGTTCATGGTAGGATAACTACTTTTATTATCTGTGGGGTAATATAATCCAAATACAGGACTTAAAAAGCAACCATGATGGAGAAAAATCAAGTTATCGGATTTCCACCTGGTCTTTGATTTATAGTCAAAAGTTAGAATTTTAAGGAAGCTCCATTAATCGGTTAAGACTAGAACTTAAGTTGTATTAATCATTTTATTTAGTGATTTTTTTCCCACTAATTAATTTAGATTCTTGAATACAGCCTTCAAGATATGAGGAGAGGTATTAGGAGGATACGAGGTGGCTTATTTAGGGTACCAGAGCCTTGGTAAAAGTTCTGAACCCATAAAATCAAGTGTATGTACTTCTTTGCCTCTTCTTAGCTTCATGTTGTTTTCTGGCCATCTTTGGTGTTCCTCAGCCTGTAGATGCATTATTCTAATCTGTCTTCACACGGGCACCTTCTCCCTGTGCATATCCGTCTCTGTGTCCAAATTTCCCTTTTTATGAGGACATCAGTCATATCGAATGAAGGCCCACTCTAATGGCCTCATTTTAATTTGAACACCTCAATAAAGACCCTATTTCCAACTAAGGTCACATGCTAAGGTACTGAGGGTGAAGATTTTAACATCCCTTTTCAATCCAAAATAGCAACCTAAACAAAAAAGGGATTTATTGGAAATATATGAGATGGTTTATTAAATTGAAAGAAGAGCTAAAGAATACGGAACTAAAGGAGCAAGAGCATGGCTTCTCAAAGATCTAAGGAACAGGAAGCTGCCGCGGGAATAGAGAGACCTTTGCTGACTTTCCCATCGTTATGTCACTCTGCATAATGTTCCGAATCCCAGGAGAAAGCCAAGGTGACTCCTTGGCTGAGAATGTCAGAGTCCCATCATTTGCTTTTTCCCAGCACCACTACAGCAATAGGCAAGAGATAATTCCCCAAAGATTTGGGATGCTGTTACCAAGAAAAAGGAAGAAGGATGCTAAATGGACACAACCAAATGTCTAATCGAGGCCCTCTAGCAGGAAATGAGGAAGGGAGCAAAATTTAGGGCGGAGGGAAGGCTATATTTTCACATACTTAATTCATCAACTTAATAAACCTCTCATGATTATTAGTATAACAGTTCAGAAAAATTCGCCACTCTGATATAACTTGCCCTTCTTCTAAGTCAAGAGCATGGAGGGGATTCCAGCTAATTGTGATTGTGTCCATTACAGAGTTGTCTTCAGTTAGATTTGACTACCATGTCAGTTTCATAGATAGAAAAAATGAGTTCCTGAATAATCTCCTCTTCCGTTCTGTGGCCTGGTGTTTCCCGCATCGTGTTCCAGATGCTCCTTGATGCCTTAGAAGGAAAAGTATAATCTCCCGAAGCACCCGCTTCTCCTGCTCCAACCCTGGGCTCTCCTTCTCATTCCACCCTCTCCCAATCCATCCCACCACCACCTCTTCAAAAAATGTAGCCATTGTTATATTAGCTATGCTTTGAATTAAGAAAAGAAAAGAAGAGGTGGGGAAAATTAACAAAGCGAATTACATAAAATGAGGGGTATAAGGAGGTGGCTCATCATTAAATGGTATAAAATCTTAAAGAATAGAATTAGCTTCCAGGCTGTCTTTTTCCATTTAGCCTTTAGTTTCTTCCAAAGACAAATAGCTGATAGACCTACTGTGGTATTTCGCCTGTTGTCGAATTCCATGAACTGCCTGGGCATGAGAGTGGTCATCTCCAAGGCTGGAATCACATGCGAGGAGCAGTCTGCAGGTTAGAGACTTGGACACTGAATGGGGCAGGTTGCATCTCTATTTGGAGGTTAGAAGAAAGCCAGTCCCTTAGGCAGAACATGGACTCAAAAAAGGATGAACAGTGAGTCTCATGAGGAAGAACAGACCCTGATAAATAGGGATGAAGTGGTCTCTACCAGTAGGTAGGAAATGACAAAACAGGAAATATTTGAAATTTTACATTGTCGGCATCAGGGAAACAATTAAATCATCCAGCCCAGAAGTAACACATGTCAATTCTTTTCACGACTCATTGACCAGACCAGTCACTTGTCCCTACCAAACCACAAGGAGGTCAGGAAGTGCCTGTGCCCAGAAGGAGGAGCTAAGCATACTTAGTAAGCAGCAGTGATGACTTCCACTTGTCCAAATGCAAATTTTAGGCCTCTCCTCAACAAGCTCTGATTCAGGAGATCCTAGGAAACCTGCATTTTAAGTAGGCCTCCTCAGGTGAGTCTGAGGCAGAGGAACAGGGTGGACCACGATTTAAGGAACATTTAGTCTAGGCAGGTGATCAAGAGAATGGGGACAAATCTGAGATACAGTTGTCAGAGCTCAGATGTTAGGCCAAACCTGGGTCACCTCACGCTGTTATCAAAGAGGACCACGGATGCTTAGACACCGAGGCCCAAGGGACTGGACAGAAGCTCCTAAAATGCCCAGGCATAAGGGTAGTGATGGAAGTGTGCCTGGGACAGAGCAGTCCCTTGGGTATGTGTCGAGTGCCTCAGGCACTGGGAGAAGAAAAGGGATGTGGGGCTGACTCCAGGCAGTGATTCTCAGATGTGATCTAAGGTTTATATTTATAGTCGAAGAAACTTATTGGCCGATAACATACTTTATTAAATAATTACTTTCATCTTTCCTCTGTTCTTTTCTCACTTCTCTTCCTCTTCTCCTCCCTCTCTGTCCCCCATTATTTTCTCTTCTCTTCCTTCCTTATTTTTATTCTCTATTTCCCCTTCCATTTTTTTTCTCTCCCAATATTTCCCTTTCTTATCTCCCTTCTTCTCCTAACTCCTTCTCCCCGTTCTCTCTCGTTCATTATTCTCCTCTCCTTCTCCCTGTCATTCCTCCTCTCCCATGGCACCCACCCTCCTATTCTCTCTCTCCAGGTACTATGCCATCTGCTGCCAGCCTTTGGTGTATAGGAACAAGATGACCCCTCTGCGAATCGCATTAATGCTGGGAGGCTGCTGGGTCATCCCCATGTTTATCTCTTTTCTCCCTATAATGCAAGGCTGGAATAACATTGGCATAGTTGATTTGGTGAGTAGACCCCATGCAGACCCCACTGGTTACTGGGATTCTAAATAAACTTGGTGTGCTTGGGATTCTAAATAACAGTATCAGGTTTAGGTGGTTAGTCTAAGACAGAATCTGATAGTGGTCTGAGTCACAATAACAACACGAAACTAAGCTAGCACTTTTCAGTGCTTACTGTCTGACAGAAAGGATGCTGAATACCTGATCACATCCTTTGCTTATCTCATCCAGATGAGAAAAGTCAGGCTCAAAAAGGTAAAGTAATATGCCCAGTAATATGCCTAGTAAATAGCAGAATAGGTGTTCAAAGCTTAGCATTCAGACTCCAGAGCCTGAGGTCAGTGATGTCCCCCAAAAGGCTGTCATCCTATTTCATGCTGAGAATCTGTGAGGCTTTCGGTGACCCACAGAAAACATGTCATGTGAGTGGAGGCTTTTGGAGAATGAAGAGAGCCCTGGGCCAGGAGTTGAGGGATGAACCCTGAACCCGACCCTCTCATTGACCCACTTCCTAAAGGGCTGCGATGAGAAGATTCATTGGTCCTCAGTGGAGAATAGTGGTCCTGGGTGGAGAAAAACAGCATGTGGCACATGTGCCAGGCATTGACCAACCCCGTCTTGATGATCTTTAAGAGTTGTCCAGCTCTGACATACCAAACTTATAATGAGGATCAAAAGCTCTGGTCTGTATTCATTAGCAGGAATATATATTCCCTAAGGAAGTTGTCAGGTGGTCACTTTAAAGTTGATCCCAGGATCACGTTGAGGTAGGAAGGGAAATGGAGAGGAGAGACTGAGAGTGAGCTCCGGCCCAACAGAACCATTTAGAGTAGGAGCTGCCCCTTCTTCTCTCCACCCCATTCTTAGCCCCTAATCGTGCCTTGTTCTTTGTCCAGGTAAGGATATCCCAACCAAGGCTGGGCCAGGATTTGCATGTGGTATGTCAGAACGAGAGTTCCTGGGGTTTCTGAAAGCATTGCTGGGGACAAAGGAGTGGAGAAGTAAAAGGGGATCTGGACAAAGGGGACTGTATGGATATTTTCTTGAATCCTATCCTTTCAAACTTCAGTTTAATCATTCTTGGGGGAAATGAGATTTAAACTTCCAACAACCAATAGAATAATAATAATTATGGCCAATAAATGTGGAACACTTATTGTGTGCTGAGCTCCATGTTAACTTAATCATTATTCCTGTGACCCTTCCTCAGGTCTCACAACAAGGCTATGAAGTAGATCCTATTATTGTCCTCAGGAAACTGAGGATCATAAAGGTTGAGTTATGAGCTAAAGTCACACTGGTAGGGAGCGGTGGTGACTCTATCTAAGCCCAGGCTTACTGGGCTCCAGAGTCTGTGCTCTTACTGTGTGTGCTAAATTTACACCTTAATGGAGAAAATCTTTGGAAGCATCAGAATTTTTAATAAAGGCACAGCACTCTTACTTTCTGATGGAGAATTCCCAAGGGAAATAACCTAAGGAATTTTTGTCCATTTTTGAGAGTGAGATAGAGACATCCATCTCCTATTTACTTTGTGGAACTAGGAGATAAGGCATCTGCTAACTATCAACACGCCTAGTATTTGCTCCATGATGTTTGATTGCATTTCATATTTTTCTACTCACTTGCACATTGAATCTGCCTAGTGAGAAGCTAGCACAACCCACATGTTCACAGTACACATACAGTTGATTCTTGTTATTTGGAGTAATTAGATTCTATAAAGTTGCGCAAACATCGAATTAGCAAATATGAAATCTTTGCTCCTAGGAGAAATACAGGATGAGGTTCTTCCAAGTCTCTGGTCACAATATTTTCATCAATTAATCAATATATGATTATGCTGCTTGTAAGAGAGGCCCATGAAATATAAGGTGACAGAAAGGTTAAAAATAAAATAATAGAAAAATGTAATATGCAAATGCTAATCAAAAGAAAGCTGGTGTAGCTGTACTATTATCAGTGATAAAATAAGTTTAAGGCAAGTAATATTGCTTGAGATAAAGAGAGATATTTCATAATGATAAAATGTCAATTCAATAGGAAGATGTACTATAACCTTATACTATAAAACGATACTAAATTAAAAGATACTATATAAATGAGGAATTGTATGACATGTGTGTATCATATATATTTTTTATTCATATCTTTATTCATGTGTATATTCACACTGGATCAAAAAGCCTCAGGAAGGGAAGTATCATTTCATTACTTAGCTCTCTTCAGCCAAGTGTTTCTAGAGAAGGCTGATAACTAAGAGCTGTCAGTATGCAGGGTTTCTAGTTGGGAGAAAAGTCTTTCAGTCCTTAAAAAGGATCTAGTGCCTCACAATATCCAGTATGAGTGAAGAATATAATGCAATCAATGTGTAGTTCGCTGTGTTAATACAAGAAAGAAGGGAAAACCCACATGATAATCTTTATTACTGCCAAAAATGTATCGACAAAATTCAATATTCATTTATGATTTTAAAAAATTCTCATCAAACTAAGAAGAGAAGAGAACTTTCTTAATTAAATAGAAAGCGATGATAAAAAACCTTATGAGGATCAGACTTAATAGTAAAATATTGAAAACTTGCCTGCTAAAAGTGGGAAAGTAATAATGGTGTTCACTATTAACACTTTTATTCAAAATTATACTGGAGGACTTATCAAGTTCGATAATGCTAGAAAAAATGTTATTAAGATTGGAAAGGAAGAAATGAAATCATCATTATTTGCAGATCACATGAGTATTCATAAAGAAAATTCCAAAGAACCTAGAGATGAAATATTAGTAACTAATTTAACAAAGTTGCTGCATACATAGCCAATAAATGAAAAAATTTCAGAGTTCTACATACTAGCAACAAACAATTAGGATTAAGAATTTTAACATGGTACCATTTGTAATAGAATAAAAAGTCTTTAAAAATACTTAGGAGTAAATCTAATAAATGGTATGCAAGACATTCATACACATAAAAAAATAAAACATTACTGAAATAAATTATAAAAGACTTCAGTAATGATAAAGGATTAGCATGTTTGTGAATGAGAAGACAGCATTGTAGAGAAATGATAAACTAATTCTATGGGAAATGCTGGGATATTTGAATGGCCGAAACAGTCTCGAAGAAAACAAGCCACAGTTCGAAGCCTTTTGCTGCTAGATCTGTTGTATAGAAGCAGACAGGGAAGGCAGGAGATGCAGAACTCCACACCTGGTTGGGTAGAGTGATTTTGTCCTTCTTGTATCTCTATTCTGCTTGGGACTTCGGCCTCTTGTGGACAGATGAGCCCTTTGAGCCCTGGGATATGATCAGATCATATTCCTTTTCTACCAGCAAGGTTCTAGGTGCTGTAGGTTTATAAAAAAATAGTAAAGCTCTACTGATAAACCTTCTTTCTTTCATTTTTCCTTTATTCCTTTCTTTTATTCTTTCTTCCTTTTCTTTCCCCATCCCCTCCCCTTCTTTCTACCTTTCCATTTCTATTTTTCTTTTTCATCCTTCTTCTTTTCTTATGATTTTCCTCATTACTCTCCTACTTTTTCTTCTTCATATTTTTCTCCCCTTTCTCTCTCCCTTCCTCATTTTCTCTCTCTCTCCAACTCTCAGATAGAAAAAAGGAAGTTCCACCAGAATTCTAACTCTACGTACTGTGTCTTCATGGTCAACAAGCCCTACGCCATCACCTGTTCTGTGGTGGCCTTCTACATCCCATTTCTCCTCATGGTGCTGGCCTATTATCGCATCTATGTCACAGCTAAGGAGCATGCCCACCAGATTCAGATGTTACAACGGGCAGGAGCCCCCGCGGAGGTCAGACCCCAGCCAGCAGACCAGCATAGCACTCATCGCATGAGGACAGAGACCAAAGCAGCCAAGACCCTGTGTGTCATCATGGGTTGCTTCTGCCTCTGCTGGGCTCCGTTTTTTGTCACCAATATTGTGGATCCATTCATAGATTACACTGTCCCTGGGCAGGTGTGGACCGCTTTCCTCTGGCTCGGCTATATCAATTCTGGATTGAACCCCTTCCTCTACGCCTTCTTGAATAAGTCTTTTAGACGTGCCTTCCTCATCATCCTCTGCTGTGATGATGAACGCTACCGAAGACCTTCCATTTTGGGCCAGACTGTCCCCTGTTCAACCACAACCATTAATGGATCCACACATGTGTTAAGGTGAGTGCCTAGGGCTTTGATAGATTTTATTGGCATGACTCAGAAAACTGAGTAACTCTCCAGTTTTCTGTTTCCATAGGGGATACTCTTAAAAACCTCTGCGGTGATTGCAAAGATTAAAGAAAATCTACCGTCTGGTCATGGAATAGAGAGTAGTGGGTAAGGACTCGGGCTCTGGGGAGACTGACTGACATTGAAATCCAGTCTCCACAATTCTGTGACCTTGGGCAAGTCATTTAACCATTCTGAACCCTATTCTCATTTAAAAAAAAATGAGATCATAATTACCATATCTACATCACAGGGTTTCTGTGAGCATCAAATTAGCTAATGTAGGTAGAGCACATGGTACGGAGCCTGACATCTAGTAAGCACTTAGTAAATATCATCTACTATTTTTGAGCTTTAAGGTAAAATAGACTTTATTTTGACTCTTGGCATCACTACTAACCATTTGTATAATCTCTCTTGGTTTTACTTTCTTCAACTATAGAAAAATGATGAGAATGCTAATATCCATCTCATAGGGCTCTTGTAACAATCAGAGATGATGTGTTTATATAAAATCTGACATAGTAAACACTCATAATACTACTAATAATGTTATTAACATTAGTAGGAGTAGGAGTGATAGCATACTGCCTAATACCCTAAGATGGCCATAAAATAATATGATAAACTGAAATAAGTAGAATGACAAATATGCAATAGTAATGCCATGCGATAAATGATATATTGGAGGTATGGACAATCTAGAATGGGGATATGAGTGTGAAACAAGCTGATTTGGCTTAAGGAAATCAGGGAGGGCTTCACAGAACAGCATTTTACAAGAATTTGAGACTTGGAGAATAACTCAAGGAAGCCATTCCAGGCAGAGATGAAATATGAAAGAACGTGGGAAGGTCAAGTGGTTTACCCAACGTCACATAGGTTGATGGAGGTGAGAGTGACTTTGGTGTTGAATGTTCAGTCACTAGTCATGATTCTTCTTTCCAAACCTTGAGAATTTTCTGGCAGCCCTGGTCTAGAGTTCTCAGCTGTGAAAAGCCATGGGCAATAAGTACATTCATCCTGTAGCAAAGATGAACTGTCACCGACATTTTTTTCCTTTGCTCTGAGATGCACAGGAATTTCTGAAGAGCAGCTCCTTCTTTGAAACAAGCATTTGATTTTTCTGACGATGACAGTATTCAGCTATTCTGGCAGCTGAGCATTGGGGAATTTTCATTTGCATGTGGAAGAAAATAGGAATTGCTGTAAAGTAGAAACACTTCGCCTCAGGGACTGCTCAGAAGCATGGATTCAATTTTCTGTTACCAGTGTGGGCAGACTTGTAGCTAAAGCCTAGTATGGTGTTGAAATTCCAGCTAGTGGAAGGGCCTCCAAGGGTACCCCTATAGACTGACATTTTTAATTATTATGTCTTAGCAAGTGTCATAGAAAGGATCCAACATTAAAGTGTGTATACAAGAACTTCTGTGTGGGTGCCAGATAGTTTTTAGCTATTTAAGCTAGCAGTTGCCTGAGTATAGACTGTTGACAACTTAGAGCGTTTGCTCCAGCAGTGCATGTGCTAACTCAATTGTTTAGATCTGGGTGACCTTTTCCCCTAGGAACAGTCAAAGAAAGAATTTGAGAGGTTTCTAGGGCAGTCCAAGGAACCTTGTTTTGCTAATACTGTACTGTTTTACAAACCCTGCTGTTTCTGGAAATCTGCAGTGTGATTGCAAAGCAGAGATAGTAGTCAAGAGGTGACTTATGGATATATTTTCTTGCATTTCTTCATGAGGTCATGAAAAGTGCAGGAAGTTGGTTTGAGGTACTTTTCCATGGGGGTGAGGACTCTTATAAGAGTGGGGGCAGCCTATCCAGAGAAGGTAAGACTATTTGAAACCCGAATCCACTAGAGTGTAGGCCTTGCCAGGAGAAGAATCCTGCCTGTTTTAGCCACTGCTACATCCCAATAGCCAATCTATTGGCTGATGGATAGTAGGAACTTAGCTTCTTGATGAATAAATTAACAAGTCATACAATTAATTGTGCAGATCAATTATAATAACAACACAACTTAAGAAAAATTTACGTTTTTCCTAAAAATCCCACAAGCGGAATATCCACAAATTTAGATGAATTCAAGAAATATAAACCTAAACAATCAATAGTAAAAAAAGCTTTTGTCCTGCTGCTCCTACTTCTAGTCTCTATTTTTCTTGGCACTTGTGCTGCTCGAGACTGTAGAAGTCCTTATTTAACACCTATAACACCAAATTTCTTAAGGGCAGAAACTATGGCTTGCTTTTATTCATGCATCATATGCTTCCTTGCATACTGTCTGCAAAACAGTGGATAATCAAATGATCAATACATTTTTTGCTGATGAAATATCTTCACTATTATCTTCAGATTAATGAGAGATTAAGACACTGAAAATTGAAAATTATTCGATTTTTTAAAAAATTATTTCCTGAGACTCTAAAAAGTATAGAGGACTTAGTCTACAACCCAAGAATCACACTGGGGAGAGCCAGGTCATGACAACACTCTGAAATTGTGGGGCCTTTTTCTCTTAAAGTTTTTTTGAGAGAATGGAATTTCACTTTTCCAGGTTGAATTAAAAACAGGCCAGTCTGGCCTCAGTGGTTTAGAATAATACACTCTCATGCTTGGTTGTATCCTATGGCCCTTGGACTTATCTAACATTTTGTCATTAAGCAAGCAGATGGGTAGCCAATGAAGTAAAATATGCTTTTGCAAGACATTCTTAGAGGGCTTTGATCACTCAGATTGTACTAACTAACGTGCACAGTAGTAGAGAGATGCAGCTGTGAATGGTTGTTTCTGTTGGATCAGTGTCTTCTTTGGGATACCCAGCCCACAATCAAAGTAAAAGTGAAAATATCATTTGGTTGGCTGATGAATAGTTCGTCTAGATATATAGGTTACATAACCTTTTAAAAATAGTTTCCAGAAATGAATTATTGTCATATAAATGTTTTTTTGGAGGCAGTTTTAATATTTATACATACGTATATTAGAAAGAAGCATAATGCCAATATGTGGACAGTGGATTCTAACAGGTTCATCATGTGTGTGAAATGATTCTTAGTGAATTTAGAGCCAGCTTCTCTCTCCTTTCACACCCTTAACCTGATTCTTTTGCTGTTTTCTTCATCCACCAATATCTCTCATAGTCTTATAGGAGCAACTTTTCCCACTCTAGAAAACTCACATCAAACATAATGGAGGAGAAAGGAAGAAATAACTAATGAGAAAACACTGGCTACTTTTCTGCTCAAGTCAGGAATAAGACAAGGATGCCTTGTCACTTCTGTTCAGCGTTGTACATGCAAAATCTAAATGACTGGAAAAAAAAAGAAATATGAGGTATGAAAATTGGAGGAAAAGAGTAAATCTGCCACTGTTTATGAACAATATGATCATCTACCAGGAAAATCCTCTATAAACTAAAAACCAAGCTATTTCACAAGGAAGTTCACACATTAGCTGCTAGACTCCTACATCCTAAAAATAACCAATTAGAATGGGAATTAAGAAAAACGCTACTGTCCACAGAAGCAATAACTAAAGTTACTTTAAAAAATGTAGGAGAAAAGTGTAAGACATTTATTGAAGGAAATTTTAAAACTTTCCAGAAAGAAAAAAGCAGGGGTATAGGGATTCACTGTGAACCCAGATGAGACTGCTGTAAAACCCACATTTCATTTTGAAGTTATAAGAAACTCATCAGAAGTCCAGGTGTGCAGATTCTGGAACCTGATTTATTAGGTTCTGAGCTTTGATTTACAGTTACCTTGTGCAGCGCATCTATCTAACGTGTCAGGCACGGTGTATGAGGTAGTAGACGTAAAGATGAATAAGCTTTGGTGTCTTACTGATCTCAGAGCCTAATGAAGAAAGAGACATATAGCAAATAAGGGGGTATAGTATGTATCACTGGAATTGTGCACAGGTTTAACAGTGGCTGATCACTTGTCATCAACAGTTTCCTCAATATCACTGATAACCATCCAACATCTGCTTCAATTCCTGCAATGAGAGAATCTTACTACTTAATGAGGCTTCTCAATGGTTGGGCAGCTCTAGAGTTGAAAAGTCTCCCTTATATTGAGTTGAAGTTTCCATCACTATGACTTCTACCTACTGGCCCTAATTCTGCCACGAGCAAGATAAATCCAGCTACGTCTTTTTTTTTTTATTGGAATCACCCTTTCTGTACAGTTTAGTTCTGTGTCCCTTCTGAGGCTTTTCTTTTACAATCTAAATATCCCAGTTTCTTTCATTACTCTCCATGTGTTACTGTTGAAGGTTTGAAGAACATAATCACATCCCTTTATTTGTAGCCTTTATTTGTCGCCTTTATTTGTCTTGATCATTTTTTCTTTCAAAGTATGGTCACTCACATTAGAATCATCTGGGAGCTTAGTAAAAACATAAAATCTTGAGTGCCATTCACTAAATTGGGGAAGATTAGGGAAAATGGCATTTTTACCAAGATGACTCTTATGCGTATTAAACTTTGAGAACCATCGTGAATTGGAACGGTCCAATGTTTGCTGACATTGATCATACTTCAGGGTTAAGACACATATTATAATTCTTTGGTTCTTTTAGAGTCTCTCAAAGAATAATAATTTCATCTGGCAGGAAAATATGAGAGAAAATTCTTTTGGAAGCTTACATCATCTCAGTCATTCTTCAAGTCAAGTGACTTTCCCAATTTGGGAGGCAGAGTGCAACCATATAGACTATGGCCACATGGGTGACTGGTGATAGGAACAAGCCATATTGATTTGTCTTTGAGTTCTTTAGGGGTTTGACTCTGGAGTTCTTTGTCCTTTGGATAAATGCCAAGGATCTGGCCAGCCATGTCCACTGCTGTATCCTCAGAGCCTAGTAAAGTACCTGGACCATCGTGAGGCTTGACAAGGGGATAGAGGAATGCTTCTGTCTGTTGTCCGGTGACTTAGCTTCTCTTC